CCAAATTCTCCATCATCATAATCACCTGGGGCAGACTACAATAGGCCAATCAATGGCCGCCGAACCGAGTGGACCCAGTTGGACTCCACCCCCCCCTCCCCACTAAGCTAATTAAAAAAAAAAGGCATGAACTGCCTTTGCTCGCTCGAAGGCTGGGTTCGTGGGTTCGAAACCCACTCAAAGGTATGGATGTTTGTGTGTGCGTTTATTCTGTATTTGTGTTCCCCTGTGTCCAGGCAGCGGCCTTGCGACGGGCTGATCACTCGTCCAAGGGGTCCTACTGTTTCTGTAAAAAGGATTACGAAACTGAAGAGGCCAGGGCCCAACAAAGGGCAATAGAACCACTGATGAATCAATGAATAGAAAGAAGAGGTCTTTGTTTAATTTTTTTTTTCAATGCCATCCCGGCATTTGCCTGCAGGGACAGAGGAAAACCATTAAAACTGGCTCGGGATAACCGCTGTCTTGACCGATATTCGAAACGAGTACATCCCAAATACAAGTCTACAGGCCCGCCTCTACGCAAGTCTACTCAATGAAACGCTGTTACTTGTCAGCCTTTTTATGATTACCGTTCCCTTTGCTTACGTCAGCATCATGATAAAAGTGTGCGTCAACAATGAGAATTTCTGAACCGTATCATTAAGCTTTAAAGTTTCACTGCATCATAATAAATTAAATACGTAAAAAAAATCATCATTGTCTCGTTCAGAAAGAGCCCCTGTGGAGTTCCTCCCTGCATGTTGTTCCATCAGGAAGTAATTCCATTTTTTTGACACGTTGACATCACGAATGACCTCGCTACACTACACATTAGCTTGAGAAAATTCTGCGCAGTTTTATGTGCACTATGGATTGTGACGAATGCCATTGGATTAGGAGGGCATGTATCAGACGTTATATGAAGTTGGAGATTGTGGTCTCACTGCTACTGTGAAGCAAAACAGTTCATTATGGGTATAACAATGGCTCGTGATTCAACCTTATCCTAGTCACCCTTACCCAAAATAAGTCGCATCTTCAGCGCTGCCCCATATTTATATTAGCTACGCGTATGTTTTCAAAATAATCTGATTCCATGAGGTTTTATGACATTATATCAGCAGTAACACTGATTATGTTCTTAAACGATGCCATTACATCTACAAGGGCTATATATTGCCGAATGATATGGAAATATGACTTCTTTTTTTTTTGCATACTTTCCATATTTTGAAAAAAAAAATAAAATAGACTTATGCTGTCTGCGTGTCTCCCTTATCAACTTTTGAATGCCTGAACCAATCTTTGTGAAACTTGGTATGAATATCATTGCACCTCAACCCATGTCAACGGCGTACTTAATAAATCCCTCCCATCAGTGTGTGTGTGACTGTATGCGTATCCCCTACCGTTGCTAGAACATTACCACGGCAACGAATATACAAGCAATAGAAGAACTGTTGGACCCGTCTTTTTCTATGCAGTCCGTGTCGTATCAAGGAAAGTAGGCGGTTTGTCGTTCCCAAATCTTCTTCTTCGTCTGTAGTTAATTTAACAGCACAGTCCAAAGAACTTCGAATGTTTGGATATTAGTGTATAATGAACTGAAAAGGACGGGGCAGTGGCCGTGGTTTAATATAAAGTACTATCCAGATATGTGCGTCTGGGAACTGAGGAAACCACAAGAAAGAGAGTCGATGTCCTGACCGAGATTCAAACGAGGCACCGTACGCATACAAATCAGAAACATTATCGCTTAAGACAATACGCTCGGTATCATGAACAGTGAATAGAAACGGGCCTGACAGGAAGTGGTCAAAGCCCATATCAAGGCATTCCCCTCGTATTCTTCTGGAGAGACTGAAGAAGACCACGAAAACCTCAGACTGTACAGGCGATTACAATCCCGAGTTTCAAACCACATACACTCTGAACATGGTAGATGTGTCATTGCTCAAGCGGTTAGTCGCCGGCTTCCCACCACGGCGGCCTGGGTTCGAGTCCAGGTAAAGTCATATGGGATGTGTGGTGGACTAAGTGGCACTGGGGCAGGTGTTCTCCTAGTACTTCGGTTTCCCCTGTCAATTCTCATTCCACCAATTGCTCCACAATCACCCTCATCTATCATCTGGGGCTGGTACAATAGGCCAATTAGTGGACGATGTACCAAGCTGACTCAGTCTCACCCCAACCCAACACTATTATGAACAAAAGTACAGAGCGTTAACGCACAATTAACCTGCTGAGCGAAGAATCTGCCTCGTCTTCATCATGCACGTGGCTTCAGCTCCGTCGAAGGTAAGTGACCTTGCTTAATGGAGACAATGAAATATGAAAGATATTCGGAAAGTAAAGACACAAAGCCCATGAAATATTTATAAAGCATTTGGGGGGGGGTTCACTTGTAGCACTTTTACAACACACCTTTATTTACTTTACAACATAGTCACCTTGGATCGCAACGCACTTAGTGAGCCTGGGAACGAGTTTTTTATACCAGCACCGTAGAAACCTCACGCCTGCTCTCTTAGCCATGGATAAGAGTTCTCGACACTTCTGGAAATTGTTGATGAAGTTCATCGATGGTTCATAATCTGTCGGCATGAATATTTTCATCATTTTTTTTTTGTTTATTTAATCAGCGACAACGGATGGCCTTCCACTCCTTATTTCATGAACATCGCTTCTTCCCGCTTCAAATTCACGCCATTTTGCCACGTTTTGCCTGTTCATAACATCTTCGCCGTAAACAGAAACAAGATGGCGATGAATTTCAGCAGCAGTTTCTCCTTTCGCGTGAAGAAATCGAATTACTGCACGAACCTCACACATCTGACGAGATTTTCAACGGACATGGCCAATTTAAACACACACTGCGAGCACGACGTTGCCGTGACTCTGACCTGTCATACGGTTCCTATCTCACATGGCGGCACTGCCATTTCTGAAAAAAATATATGTCCCTTGCATTTTTACTGGACTTGTATCTTTACTTTCCGAATATCCCTCGTCTAAATTAATGAGTCTTCCGTATTAATTTTCAACAATATCCGCGGCTCGGGTTAAGACACGTATGAAAAGATCGACTTACGGGCAAACTGGTAGTCTTTCAATGGCATAAGGTAATAATAAATCTATTAATGGCGCCACATTTGCGGAATTTGGCTTTCTGTGTCTTCCGCGCAGTCATATTTCCCAAAAGAATGGCTAGCGATGTTAGCCATGCAGGTAGAGGTATAAATTTGTGAGAAAGCTAAGAGAGTAACATACAAATCATTAAAATCGTAAAAGTGAACACGTGACCTCAATCGCGACAATCCCTGGAGAGTACGGAAGTTTACACTATGTCCGTGCTAGCAACAAGGCTTCAATTTCACCTTCAGAGTCTCTTACGTAACATAGCAAGCAGCGCGCGTGAGCTGGCCCTAGGGACAAGTGACTGATATTGTTATTCATTTCTTTATCTATTTATTTAACGATGCCTAGCACACAGCGACGAATGGTAGAATGATTAGCGGACAGTAAATTGGAAAGAATGTGGAAGTAAGCGGTTGTGGCTTACTTTAAAATGAGGTACTTCCCCGACATTCTCCTGAACTAGGGATCACAAAAACCTCAGTCACGATTATCGATGTCCTGGATGAGATCTGAATGGTCATCTCCAAGTCCAAGTCAGAAGATTCACCGCTTCATCCAATTCTGTCACTGATCTTAATCAATCTCCCACATAAATTTCAACAAAAACCCAACATAAAACTAAGAAATTAGAACATAAACATGAAAGATACAGTGGAACCTCGCTTAACGAGCACCTCTCACAACGAGTAGTTCGCATAACGAGCAAAACAAATTGTAAAGGGATGACTCGCTTAACGAGCGACGTTTCGCATAACGAGTGACGAGAGGGGAAGTCCCGGATTGTGCGCTTGCTACATCAGTCTGTGTTTAGCACTCGTTCCGCTAGCGTCTTAGTGTCGCTTGTGATCAGACATTTCTCCAAACTTGTGTTCACACATATTATTTGTGATTTTTTTTTTTGTGCAAAGTTTAATAACCCTTGCAAAAATGTCCCCAAAGAAAAAGCCGCAAAAAGACAGCAATAAAAGAATAAAAATAGCCGTAGAAATGAAACGTAAAATCATTGAAAAGCGAGAACGAGGTGTGAGCGTGGCTGATCTAGCACGCACATACAATCGGTCTACATCAACGATTTGCACGATTTGGAGTTGCACTGTGTTTCACAGCAAGAAGTTGTGGAGAAGAGTTTGTCAGAGGAGGAGGAGGAGGTAACAGCAAAGCAACAATCTTCTGGCGCAATAAGAGAAATGCTGAAAGCATGGGAAACTGTTGCACTGTACATTGAAAAGCATCACCCTAATAAGGCAGTGGCTATGCGCATTACAAATTTATTTAATGATAATGTTGTGTCGCATTTTCGCCAAATTTTAAAGCGTCGGCAAAAACAAATGTCTCTAGACAGCTTTCTAGTAAAAAAGAATTAGATATGTATCATAAATAATAAACTTTTCTGCAAATCTAATTCGCTTTCCAGGTTGGTTCATTCCGCATAGAAGAAAAGATGAAGATGATTCACGCTCCTTAACAATGTATATATAATTTTCTTTGAATAAACGTTATACATATATTTTTTTAGTATTTATTTTTCGGCATGGAACGCATTATCGTATTTTACATTAATTTATATGGGAAAATTGTTTCGCTTAATGAGTGTTTCGCATTACGAGTAATATTCTGGAACAACTTATGCTCGTTAAGCGAGGTTCCACTGTACTGGGTCGGCACAGCGATTAGGCTATGGGCTGGACGACCGAGGAGTCGGTGTTCGATTCCCGAACAGATTTTTCTCTTCAATGTACTGTTCCGAGCTGGCGGTAAAGGGGAAGGTGGTCATTCAAGCCCCACTCAGTGCCGAGATCAAGAAAGCTGGCTCTATACCTACACACTTCCACGTCTTATGGGATGGTGCTTAATTAATTAAGCCATTTAACTTTACTTACCTACTCTATAAGACGTATTTTCTATGTTAAATGGGTCCCTTGTCACCACCGCACGATGTATCTTCTGACTGCGGATGAAGACGGCTTCTCAAGGAGGAATGTCATGCACGGAGATAGTCACGATATCTCTCTTATCGCGCAGTTGACTTCTACAGAGGAAAGTGACGCAAAATCTGAAAAGACCATTCAAGAAAGTATTAGCTTCAGCCGAAATTCTGCGAAATATCGAAGGATTCGCTTTCAATCAGTGTTTTCCATTTGGCCAATATTGTGCACAACGTAAAGTAATTTACTTTCGATCGGTGTTCTGAAAGTTGTCCAATAATCTTCTGAACGACAAGGGGCTTACATTCAATCAGTGTCTGGAAAGTTAGCCAACAGTTTTCGCAATGACAAAGAATTTACTTTCAGTATTTTAGAATGTCAACGAATTTACTTCAATTCATAGCGCGACCTTCTCAAAAACGATTCAGCTTCATCGAGTTACTTAATTTTTTTTCCTTGGCATTACAGCCTCGGTGGGCCTAGGCCTACCTCCATGAACTCCATTCACTTCGGGTTTTCTAGATCTTACACATACGGTAGGACTCCTTGGGCGAGTTATCAGCTCGTCGCAAGGCCTCTACCTGTAGACAAACACAGAAAAACGCACACAAACATCCATGCCCTGAGTGGGATTCGAACCCACGATCCCGGCTTCCGATCAAGCGAAGACACTGCATGCCTTAGACCGCTCGGTTACCGTGACCGGCACTTACTTAATTAGGGTGTGCTTTTTCCAAAGAAAAGTCTTTGGGGGAAAAGTATGAAAAAGTTTGAAAAGTTCATACATGAGAGAACTGAAAAGTACTGTACTCTTGGATGTGACACAGTGAATTACAAAATACTCTTCATGGTTCAGAGCCGTGAGAATTCATATCTTACAAGACAGAACTGTTTCAGTCGAAACTGTAACTGGTTTACAGAGCAGAAAATAAGTGTTCACCACAAATATATTATACATATATGCAGTATTTATTACATTTTCGTCTATACAGCAAATTATATATTATTGATATGTTAAATTACTAGATGAACTAGATGTTTAGATGTTAATATGCCTTTATTATAAAAAAAAGTAAGTAAAGCTATTCTTGTTAACAGGCCGTGAAGGTCCATAGGGTTGTGAGACGTCGAGGCTCCCACATTTTCTAGACAATCGGATTACAGAAGGCGGTAGGGTTCTCAGCCTTACGCACCGGCCGCCCTTTACCCCCAGAGAAAGTTTCTCATTTCTGTTAGAGGCTGAGCCGACCCCAGGGCCATAGAGCGGCTGGAAGGATTAAGTAAATTGAAAAAAAAAAATCCAATGACCCCATCGAGAATTGAACCCGTGACTTTCCGGCTAGTAGCATACTGCTTCAAGCAACTACACTACCGCATGCTACCCTTTCATACAAATACGTAATATAACTTTTAAGCATACCAATAGTTTATGTTTCCTAGATGCTTATAATTTGGCAGCTAAGCAAGCGTGAGTAATGACTTTACTAAGCACATAATCAGTCGTTATGCAAAATCATGGAACCGTGTTATGACGTCTGGAGACAGCTGGTGCTAAAATACAGCATATTTCTAATTACAATGACGAGGGCTAGCAAGGGTTGAAGAGTGGGGTTACCACGACGAGTTAGGTTGTAGCGCAAAATAGTATAGCGGCGTGCTGACGTCACACGTGACCGTGAAGAGAATAAGAAGCCACAGCACAGCTGTAGTGCGCGCAATATTTGGCGGGACTTCAACGCGCCATCATGGGACAGACGGACGTGAATATAGTACTCTGTGCAGTCATCGCCGCCGCTCTGCAAAGTAAGTGCACCCAACTGGTCATCCGCCTCTCTTGGGCATCATACTGCGCACCATGAACACACTCAGACAACTTTTTTACTGTTAGTGGGGTAGGACTAAGTCCCTTGTATTGCGGCCACTTCTGGCCTATTGTACCAAACCCAGATGATAGATGAGGGTAATTGTGGAGCAATTGGTGAAATGAAGATTGGCAGGGGAAACCGAAGTACTTGGAGAAAACCTGCCCCAGCGCCACTTTGTTCACCACTAATCCCACTTGATCACACCCGGGATCGAACCTGGGCCGCCGCGGTGGGAAGCCAGCGACTAACCGCTTGAGCTATGGCGTGCCCCCTTAGACAACTTACTTACACCCATTACTCTATTAGGTGGCCAGTATAAACGAATTTATTTCCATTTAGTACTTTGAAAGTTAGCAAATACCGTATTTACGCATGTATAGGCCGCACATTTTTTGCCAAAAATTCAAGAGGAAAACTGGGGTGCGGCTTATATTCGAAATATTCGAAATCACACTTCATTTTAAAAAAATTAACGTTGCCAAATTTCGGAATAATTTCTACTCCTGAAATAATATTCCAAGAAAATTTTTTCTATAATTTGTCTGAAAATTGTGCTGCGGCCTATACATGCGTAAATACGGTACTTAGTGGAATATTAAAGAATTTAGTGTAATTACGAGTTTTGACCGGTTCTCAATATTTTGTGAGATACCAAAGAATTCGCTTTAATTGAATGTCAACAAATACTTCGTAAATACAGTAAACCCTCGCTATTCCAGATTTGAGGTAGGGACATCCGGATTAGGCGATAATCCCGACGAAATGCGCAAAATATAGCCCTAAAAGACAAAAAATTAGAAACAAACATAAATTTTAATAATACACGTAGTGATGATGAAAATGAAGGGAAAAAAACATCACTGTAGCGATTTCTTCCTTTGTCAGAAGCTGCTTCCTCCAGTTCAAGCCGATCTTGGATATGTTCTTGCGTAGTTTCAGTCTCTCCAGCTGCCCTCAAAACAGTCTGAAAGTCCTCTTACGCTAATCCTTCATGATCCTAAATCTCATCTGTCTTTTAATATACGTATTCAACTGTGAACATAATTTTTCGTTTTTCATATTTCTATACGGATTAAGTGTAATTGGATTACCGAGGATTTACTGCACTAAAGAAAGTACTTTAATCTTGAGTTCTGACCGGTAGCCAATGTTTTGTGAGATATCAAAGAGTTTGTAGCGTTCTAATTAATCTTGAGTTCTGACCGGTAGCCAATGTTTTGTGAGATATCAAAGAGTTTGTAGCGTTCTAAAATTTAACAATTGTTTCCTAGAATAAGAGAGAATTTACTTCAGTTCAGTACTCTGAAAGGCAATAAGTATTTTGGATGTTGGATTTGAGGTTCCCATAGCAGTCACTATGGAGAATACTAATTCCTAGGACGGGGTCTGGTAGAAGCCTACCAATATGTCGAACAAACGTACAGACTCCATCTTGATGACTGAAAGAATAAGTCAGCATGAAGCAGGCGGCAGGAAGAGCTTGGCTTGTTCTCCGAAACGTTGGTAGATTTCCGTCAGCCTATATGTCATTACATCCTACAAGAGAGTACTCAAAACTAAAATAATTTACTTTCATTCTGTATTTTCAAAAGTAAGCAAAAGTTTTGTGGAATGCTAAAAGAGTTTAGATTCAGTTAGTCTTTCGAAAGTTGGCCGATATTTTAGAGTACAAAAAGTAAGTAAAGGTATCCCCGTAACAGACCATGGAGGCCCATAGGGTTGTGAGATGTTGAGGTTCCCACATTTTCTAGACAATCGGCTCATAGATGGCGGTAAGGTTGTCAGCCCTACGCGCCAGCCGTCCTTTAACCCCAAGAATATTCCTCGTACTCATTTCTGTTAGAGGCTGGGTCGACCCCAGGGCCATAGTGCGGCTGGAAGGATTAGGTCAAGTGAAAAGAATTCAATGACCTCATCGGGACTTGAACCCGCGACCTTCCGGTTTGTACCATAGTGCCTCAACCAACTACGCTAGCGCGTATATCAAAGAATTAACTTTCATTCAATGTTGTAAACTTTTAACTAATATTCTGCAGAATATTAAGATATTTTTTCACTGAACGGTTTGATAAGTGACAAGTACATTCCAAAATAATAAAAGACCTGCTTCTATCATTATTTTAAAAGTTCGCCATTAGTACATGCTTCGAAAATTGGTCATGCTGTGCTACAAATGATAATGTTCACACTTTAAACTTCACTAGTATTTTGCGTAATACCGAGAGCGAGCTATTTCCAAGAAGTAAAGCAGCTGGAACGTGATACTATGCTAACCATACTGCTGAGGTTAAGAATACTAGAAGCTTACCTACAAGTACTACACATACCTTCGTGACCTAAACTTCACTTGATTGTCACGATGAAGGCCTACTATGAAACTAAATTAGTGGAGACAAATGCATCTTGTTTTAAACTGCCATCAAAGTGAATAAACAGGTGAGTGTTCGAATTCACGACCTGGCCACTTTCCCCCGGAGAAAAAGCCCAGGACACTCATCACAAAGGAGCCTGAATGGGCCTTAGAACTGGATTGCTCGCTGCAGACAATATCTTGTCCCTGCCGCGAACCAAACATCGATTTTTCGGCTATCCAACCCGCAGCATAGTTCCTGTACCAACACAGCTATTCCGGCTCCCTTGATCCATTTTAGTATTATCTTACTATATACATCAACATATCCCAAACCGTCTCTTCTCTGCAGAGTTCTACTATAATGTTAAAGTGTGCTTCATCTCTCCACGTGTCTCAACGCTCTTCATTTTACTATCCTAGCAGTGCAGGACCTCGCTCTGTGCATAGACACTACTAGTTCGCCTCCAAATGAAAAGCTAAATTTGTAAATCCTCCTCGAAGTGGAATTGCGAGAAAACAAACAGACAATAAATTTCTCACAAAAAATCATCAAAATGGCATTGCATATTTTATTTAATTTGAATCACTCACGACGGAAAAAATGATACGCACGTTTCTTCTGCTTTCAGCCATTAAATAAACAATTTAGTCTGTTAAAATTCAAGGCAATGCAATTTCTGCTTCATCTTTAGTCATGTGACTTCATAAAACTACAAACTGAAATTATTTCTGGTACATAAGAGTACTGGAAGAGCCGGGACAGTGCAGTTGGTACGACTGGCTACGGGTTGGACGGCCGAGGGATCGTGGTTCGAGTCCCGGTAGGGACAAGATTCTTCTCTTCTCCAACTCTTCCAAACCGGTTGTGCGACCAATCCACCATCCTATCGAATGGGTACTGGCGGTTCTTTCCCCGGGGTAAAGCGGGCGGGGCGTGAAGCTGACCACTCATCTCCAACTAGTGCCGAGGTCAACAATACATGGTCTATACAGCCACTCCCCCCCACCCAACGTCTTAAAAGCGTAGTGCTTAATTAGTTAAGTACAGGGACAACTTTTCCTTTTAGATACGTGTATTGAAATGTGTCGGGGACACGCGACAGCGCAGTTGATTGAGGCACTATGCTACACAAGCCGGAAGGTCGCGGGTTCCAGTCCCAATGAGGTGGATTCCTTTTTCAATTTACCTAATCCTTCCAGCCGCAATATGGCCTCTCGGGTCGACTCAGCCTCTAACAGAAATGAGTACCAAGAATCTTCCTGGGGGGTAAAGGGCGTCCGGCGCGTAAGGCTGACAACCTTACCGCCAACTGTGAGCCGATTGCCTAGATAATGTGGGACCCTCAAAGTCTCACAGCCCTATGGGCCTCCACGGTTTGTTGCAGGGATAGCTTTACTCAAATGTGTCAAACAAAAGAAATAAAACAGGCCTAAAAACAATCTCAATTTAAAGTAATATAACTATTCAAAAATAAAGTTTATGCTCGGGGCAGACTGCGACCAATCGGACGTAATCAGACTTTGAAGTTTCCATGGCCAACGTCCAGTAGTTAGCTGAGACAATACGTTTCTCAGACGATGAATGCAACGATTTCTTGTTGGAGGAAAACCCTTTTTATCAAACTATCATGAAGGAGGATGTTTGTGAGGCGTGGTATGTGAAAGTTTCATAAAGGTGTGTATCACACTGATTCAAATATTTGTGAACCTTAGTAACAAGCCGAAACAGCATTCACGAGGAAATGACGAGACATGCTTGCTAATCTCTGTTCAGAATGTTTGATCTCCGAGTCTGTTACGTGAAGACGTAAGGACTAAAACATACACAACTATTAACATTTCCTTGATCTGTCACATTTGGACATGGTGGAGAAAACCGCATGATCAGAAGCTTCACAAACTGTATTTTTCGCCAAATATTGTTAGGATTATCAAATCAAGGACGATGAGATGGGCGGAACATATAGAACGGACGGGAATGAAAAGAGATTTATACAAAGATTTTGTAGGCAACCCTGAAGGAATGAGGCCACAAGGAAGACCGAGGAGGTGATAGATAATATTAAAATTTACTTCCAGGGAATAGGACGCGAGGTNGGGCGATGGGGGGGGGGGGGGGGGTCCTTGTAAAAACGGTAATGATCCTTCGCGTTCCATAAATTATTGGGAGCGTCTTGACTAGCCAAGCAACTACTGGTTTTTGCAAAGGAATTTTTATCAATCACAATGGTGGAATACATTTTATTAGTGAATGTTTACTCGCCTCTAAATAACAAAATCACTTCAAACTGCGTACTAAAACTATGCAGGACGGACCACATTCATCTCCCGCATGCAGAAAAAAAAATGTGTATTATAAGGAAACAGTGATACAACTTTTTACTGCCATTTCTGTGTAATAGATTTAGTCGAAATCAGCAGATATTGCAGACATTACAGGAAAAGGTGAAAATTTGTTTTTCTGTGTAATTCAAGAATAGACTGATACAAACATCTAATCTAGCTCCCTGCTTGTTACGGATAAGTGACGCGATTTTATGAAATGCTATCTTGTTCCGCCAAATGTACAGCCCTTTGTTGGGCCTTCGTCACTATTTAAGTTTCTTCATCTTTTATATAGTCGGTAGGTCTCCTTGGACGAGTGATCAGCCCGTCGCAAGGCCGCTACGAGCACAAAGGACAGCACAAACACAGAACAAACGCACACATACATCCATGCCTCAAGCGGAATTCGAACCCACGATTGCAGCCTATGAGCGGCCGAAGACACTTCATGCCTTAGACCGCGCGGCCAATGTGATCGACAAATGTTTTAGATCTATTAGAATTAAAAAGATAAAATTCCGTACACCCCTGTTTTGAAGATAAGACTGACAATTAGCAATAAACTTGTACATTAACGCTTCTATCCCAGCTGGGGGAATCACAGAGTACTGTGCGCCGATATAACGGGTTATGTTCAGAATTGCTGTCTCTGAAACTGCCACTTGGTGGGAAGAACAGGTTTCATTGTCTATACAAAACCGTTGAGTAACAGAAATGCACTGACGACGTTAACATGAAAGTTTTAAGAATCAACTGGTTAAGTACCCATTCATCGCCAGGGGGTTTTCTTAAAATACAATGTACTGACATAATGTTGAGTTACTGTACGAAAGCCACAAGGAAAGAGACCACTATGAAGACCTAAACGTAGGTGGGAGGATAATATTAAAATATATCTTGGATAAATAGGAAGGGGTGGTATGGACTGGATTCATCTGGCTCAGGATACGGACCGCTGACAGGCTCCAAATTCTTGAGAAGCTGAGTGGCTGAAGGCTTCTGAAGGACTCATCTCACTGGATTTAAACCGTTCTGAAATAATAAAGTGCTTATTTCTTACCTTAACAAGCTATTCCCTAATTACGTATATATCACACCAGTCTTCTGGATTAAATTTCAATAAACCTCATAAAAATGCAAAGTTGTTCCTGTGCTAAACTAATTAAGCACTAAGCCATGAAGGCGTATGGGGGAGTGGATGTAAAGTTCCAGTTTTCTTGATCTCAGCACTAGCTTTCATTTCTGTCTCTAGCATCACCTCAATATGTTACGCTTCCATAAAGTTTAATGAATTACGCTCCAAATTACGACATGCACGCAGGAACGCATGTAGGTTTACATGTAAAGCACCGTCACCTTTGTCCGAAGTTGACAAAAATCGGAATATTTCAACAAAATTCGAGTTGTGACACGAGGACGGACAGGTATGAAGAGACTAGCAGACGTATTCTTGCAGCTTTCGTTCCTAATGGCCTAAAACAAAACATGAATGCAAAACCACTAAATCGTAACGTTCGACTGGAATTCGAACTGAGTACTTCCCAAATACTATTATATGCATTATTTATCAACTAAAAGATAAGGTAAAGCTATCCCTGTAACAGGCCGTGGAGGTCCATGGAGTTCTGAAACGTCGAGGATCCCACATTTTCTAGACAATGGGCTCACAGATGGCGGTAAGGTTGTCAGCCTTACGCGCTGGCCGCACTTTACGCCCCATAGAGGCTGAGTCGACCCCAGGGCCAGAGTGGAAGGATTAGGTCAATTGAAAAAGATCCACCTAATCTGGACTCGAACCCGCGACCTTCCGGCTTGTAGTACAGTGTCTCAACCAACTACGTTACCGCGTGCCCCCGTTACTGATCAACTATGCTTTTTTTAAATGCTAATGAGGTGGGACTAAGTCCCTTGTACTGGGGCCGCTTCTGGCCTATTGTACCAGCCCCAGATGATAGGTGAGGGTCATTGTGGAGCAATTGGTGGAATGAAGATTGACAGGGGAAACCGAAGTACTCGGAGAAAACCCGCCCCAGCGCCACTATGCCCACCACAAATCCCACTTGACCAGACCCAGGATCGAACCCGGGCCGCCGCGGTGGGAAGCCAGCGACTAACCGCTTGAGCTATGGCGCGGCCAACTATGCTTGGTAAATGAGGAAGAGATAATACGCAGTGCGTAGCAGACTCTTGTGAACATGGTAATGATCTTTCGTGTTTCATAGAAGACGGGAAACGGCATAGGTAACTAAGTGACCGCTTGTTTCTCAGAATAAGTGTACTCCAAGTAATACTTAGTGTACAATTCCCAGAAATATTCTTTGCTCCCACAAAAAGTGTTTCGCAATTATCGCACCATACAATCTCACTGCCGAGGTCATGTGCGCACACTTGTTAACCAAAATGTTTGTTCCTATTTTTCTTATTTACCAGAGCATCACAGGTGAACGACCTACTTTATAACTACGAATTTTGTTACTAATTCACATAGTACGAAATCAATTCACGTAAAAAGATAACAAAAGTAACACAATGGAAAAAAGGGCACTGGTCCTGTGGGTTTTATGTGTTCTTTGCTCCAGTACAGTATAAAGGGAAGAGCCATATGTCCGGCTACATATTTCATCATCAGAGATACTAGATGGATTTCGATAAAATTTGGTTTTGGCAACTAAACAAAAATTGTCAGACGATGTCAATTTAGTCGGCAGGTTCAATGCAACACTTAATTTGCATGAGGTTTAAATCGAACTTTTATACAATGAAATTTCAAAGAAATAGCGGCTCCGGTCTAGAAAACCAAAGTTAACGGCCGTGGGGATTCGTTGCCCTGACCACGCGACACCTATCCGCAAAAGTTGGCACTAACTTCACTGAGAAGCGGCGGTCGCTCGGTCGGTATAGTTCGCTTACGGGCTAAAGCCGCAGAGTTTAGTTTTCTTTTTAATTTAGTTGACAGGAGCCCTCAACTGGTCCCTGTCCTATGACAGACTAATCGAGTGCACACTCTCCCATTTAATGCTGTGTCTTTCCTTCAGATACTCCTACCAAAACAATGTATCCCAAAGGATAATACAGTATTTTTAACGTTTCAGTGACCGGAGCTGCTGTTATTATAAGGAGGGATACCTCGTGTCCCGACATCGTAACCCGAGAGCAGTGGGGTACCAAACCGGCCAAAGAGACGGACAACATCACGTCACTGCCGGTTCCTTTCGTCGTGTTACACCACACACACAGACCTCGGTTCTGCAACTCGAGCGAAGACTGCGAGGCGGCCATGAGAACCATGCAGTATATGCATCAGGACCTACGTGGCTGGTTTGACATCGGCTACAAGTACGGGTCTCCTTACTAGGGCACATTAAAATTGCTGCTGGCCCTCGCCAGCACAGTGATTCTAGGTTCCGAGTGCCACGAGACTCATGACTATTTTACTGTATGACAGCTCTGTGAGCCTTCAGACCACTCCCCAGTAACCCTTTAAATTACTTCGGTTATTATATGCACCACTTGCTTTAACTCCGTGGATTTAGTCCGCAAGCAAACTTTACCGACCGAGCGACCGCCGTTTGTCGGCGAAGTTAGTGCCAACTTTTCCATGGTATACTGGTCAGAGTGCCTACAGATCCAGATGTTCCGGGTTCGATTCCTGGTGCTACCAGATTTTCTGAGATGTAGTGGGTCTCGAACGGAGTCCACTCAGCCTCGTGAGGATAACAGAGGAGCTATGTAAATGGAAATGTAGCGACTCCGGTCTAGAAAATCGAAATTAATGGCCGTGGGGATTCGCCGCGATGACCACGCTACACCCTCTATCAACTTGTTTTAACAATATAAAAAAATTACACATTTTGTCTACATGCTGCATTTGTGATTCTCATAACAAAAACGAAGACGTAGTGTTTCCTGCGAGGTAGGAACTTAAATCTTCAATATTGTTCAGATCAAGTTTCAGCTTCAAATAAACACGGCTCTGCATTATTTTCTTTCTCAAACATATACGCGTTTTTCTATGAGCTTATATATGGAGTAGTTGATTATTAGGTTAATAAAAGCAGTGTTTAAAATGGAGGTCATACATCACCAAATAAGACCCAGAGATGATCATGAACTGTCAGTAGGTAAAAATTAGGAGACGAAGAAAAACCGCGAGAAACCTCAATCACCTTGAACATAAGTCTCGAGCGTTATCATTACGGCAAAATACTCGTCCGACATGGAAGAACGATGATGTAATATTAAGTACGTTTCTCGGCATTATCGGAAAGTTAGGTCCAGACCCTAAAACGGTACGCAGTAGTCATACAGTGTCCCATGAAATGTCTGTTAAATTTTAGGTTATTTTGAGTGGAATAAATGGGTCTGATTCTCAGCCATTATAGACCTACTTCTAAAAGTTAAGGAAACAAAAAGAAAACAGCTGATTGAGTGAAAATTTTTGTTTAGTTATCTCACCATCTACACAGACATTTTATTTTACTGATCTATCCTAGTTTCTCAACCGGATGCGCTTCCTCCAGATGACTCTCTTGTTCAGTCGTTTGGTATATGTCTCCCAGCCCCTCCCAGGCCACACTAAACATGTGGCTACAACAAGATGGCGCTCCACTTCATTTAGAACGTGAATCGCTGAAGTGGATATATTGATCGCAAATGGCTGCAGAACTGGCCTCCCCGTTCACCAGACTTAATTGTTTTTGAGTTAACTTTTTTATTATTACATTTTAATTATTCTTAGTGGGGCGGGACTAAGTCCCTTGTACTGCGGCCACTACTGGCCTATAGCAGCCCCAGATGATAGATGATGGTGATTGTGGAGCAATTGATGGAATACCAATTGATAGGGGAAGCCGAAGTACTCGGAGAAAATCTGCCCCAATGCCACTCTGTCCACCACAAATCGCACATGACCGGACACGGGGTCAAACCCGAGCAGCCGGGACTAACCGCCTGAGCTATGGCACGGCCCAAGGAGCTGCTTTAACTAGGGAGGTCACAGAGAACGCTGAAATGCGGCGGTAAATCAGTGCTGCTGCTGACCGCAAACGGAAAAGTCCCGAGAGCATACGAAACGCTACTAGCTCTGCTGCAGAAGGCGCAAGATTACGCAGGGACAACACAGGGGGTCATTTTAAACAGCAACAAGCACAGATAACTAATAAAATAAAACTGTTATGTAGTTGATAAGATAAATCATGGTTTATTCAATCAGCCATTTTCTTTTGATTTCAGCAATTGCAACAATAGTTTCGTAACAGTTGAGAATCTGACCCATGTTGATATAATATTTTCACTCAACCTAATAACCTTGGGAAGTTTTGCAAATTATCCCTGTTCCTAAGCACCACGCCGAGCAGACTTTCAGGATACTAGAGGTAAATAGCTTCACGGTCCTGCCGATTTATCCCTGCAGACACAAACTAGGCTGGTCGGCCTCAAGCTGGGCTGGACATGAAGACAAAGATAATAATATCTGCTTCCGCCGGAATCAAACCCCTGTTGTAACGGCCCACAGCCAGGGAATTTACTGAATTACTTTTCCCAGCTCACATAGTAATAACATGCGAAACGCATACCTAGGATATCTTTTATTATTTATTTTTGAGCTGCAAATGGGTTTTTAGCCGGTGGCAGTGATAATAGAATAAGTCACCACACACAATATAACACACCACACTCAAAGAAAACACAGCATACATAACTACACAAGCAATAAAGGACATATTACACAAAATGAATACAATGCAAATACGATTTACAACAACAACAAAAACAATTACAAATACAATTAAATAAATTAATATTAATAAAAAATAAGTATGCTATATGCGAAGCAAGTACTTTATTTGCTTTCAAGGTTTCGTTATCTAAGGCCCACACATTAATTTTCTTGTGTCCCCGGTCCACAGTTTCTGCGTGGGTGGAACAGGAAACGTGTACGAGGGTCGAGGATGGGACGTCCAGGGCGCCCATGCACCTCGATATAACAACCGAAGCACTGGTATCTGTTTCATCGGAGACTTCATGGGTAAGCAGCTGAATGCACGAGTATTACGCGAAGGAGGTGTCATCATAAGGCACAAGTTTTTTGGATTTAAGAAACAATTTCCCGTTATGTCATGAATTCATCTGAATCGTTCGCAACTGTTCAGGCTTCTGAAAATATTCAGATCCTGGACTACAGGGCCAATGACGACAAAAACTACGGTCTACTTCTTAATGCTGTGATATGACTACTTACACACTGTCCGTTGCGTAGGAGAGGCTTGATAAACAAGCGAGCCGTCGCTAGACAACGGCTTGCCACCAGGTAAGCGACAATGAAGGAACTATTGGAAAAGATGTTTTCTATGCGATCCGTGCCTAGGCTGTATAGCGAGAGCCGTCCAGGCAACTTGGCCATCATTCCCGAGTGGAGGCGCGTTCGAGAATCTCCAACGTAGCTCTGTGAGTCGTAGGCGATGAAAAGGGACAGTGCCTTGGGGACATAAATACGGGGAAATGGCCCTCCAGGTTGAGAGAGTCTCGAATCTAAGGCAGTAAAATACGGTTATAAGTCCCGCGGGACTCGCACCCGAGAATGACAGCGCTGGAGACAGCAAGCAGCAAATGTAAACGACAGACCCGTCCTCTCGTCAGAGACAGCTTCCCACATCAACACACCCGCAACTATCTGACAGTAACAAAAATCTGGTCTTGGGCCTTTTTTTTATATTGCTAGTGGGGTGGGACTAAGTCTCTTGTACTGCGGCCACTTCTGGCCTATTGTACCAGCCCCAGATGATAGGTGAGGGTCATTGTGGAGCAATTGGTGGAATGAAGATTGGCAGGGGAAACCGAAGTACTCGGAGAAAACCTGCCACAGTGCCACTTTGTCCACCACAAATCCCACTTTACCAGACCCGGGATCGAACCCGGGCCGCAGCGGTGGGAAGCCAGCGACTAACCGCTTGAGCTATGGCGCTGCCTGGTCTTGGGCCTTAGATGGGGGCTTGACACCAAGACATACTGGCCGACTGAACGTCGGTCGTAGCAAACTTCGACTTTGACTTGAATCAGTGAGTGCAAAAGGAAGAATTTTCAATAACACGCTACATATAAAATACGTACACTTCATGAAAGGCCAAGCTTATTCATAAGAGACAAACCCATCCTCTCCTGAAAGTGGAGCCTTACGTAAGGGCTATGACCGCAAGGGTTCAGTTGCAAAAATAAAATCTCTGGTCGTGGGCATCAAGGGTCTTGGCACCAAGACGAACTGACTGACGGTAAACCGCCAGTCGTAAAGTAACTCTGATTCTCTGAACTTCGCCATGTGGCCATGTGGCACGTGGCTTCCAAAATTCCTTACGTGTATGACTACATAATTATGCAGAACACAAGCAGAAGTAATCCTAAACCATGTAAATCCAAATGTACGTGGTAATGTATAAAAAGAAATCATGCATAAAAAGTATAAGCGGCTTAAACTTTGTGGCGGTCAGGCCTACGACGGTTCAGCTGACTTAACTGCAGTTTCTAAGTAGTTACGTAAGTTAAGGCATTGACAGGAAACCTCTGTATTTCTTGTATGGACGTTGCTTAGCATAGTGCAGTGATAATGGGTACACAGAATTCATAGCGATCTGAACGCCGTGACAGCGCGGATATACTCGTGCTTAAACTACGGTACAACAAACGTAGCACCTATATAAAACACCAACCCCCGTGAAAGAGGAAGCCCCGCTTCTAAATATGTACGTATCTAGGAGAGAACAAAAATCTTCGTCATGGATCTCGACGAGACCTGAAGACAAGAATGACTGTGCTGGCGAGGATCAGCGGCAGTAGTAGTAAGAGTAACAGTAACCCTTAAAAAGGATGGCCGCGCCATAGCTCAAGCGGTTAGTCGCTGGCTTCCCACCTTAAAAACCCGAAATACGTCTGTGAATTTAAACGACTGCAGCGAATTCCTCGTCGCCAACCAACGAAACCATCTGGATCTAGGACCGCGAGGGACCATTTGTTCCGAGCCCAGGTCATAGGTATAATGAAGCAGTTTCATAACAAAAATAAATACGTAACTGTAACTAGGTACATTCCGTGTTATTTCCAGACTCGCTGCCAACACCCGAGATGATGGAAGCAGCCAAAGATTTGATCCAGTGTGGGGTGGAACGAGGATCCATCGCAGTCGACTACAAACTTCTGGGACACCGTCAGGTTCGGGACACATTGTGCCCTGGGGACACTTTCTACGAAAATATCACCACGTGGTCTCACTGGGACCCGCTTGCGGACGTAGTGACCGTCACACACACGTAACATCTCAGCGTTCTCTTCACAACTGAACTCTCTACAGGCGGTTCCACTCCTTCGTATGAACATTTCTTGACTGTATTCAGCAATAAAGCTACCGAATCAAAAGGAGAAACATTATGCTTCCTGCGAAGCACTGCTCCTTCAAGACGGGGCGTCAAGTTTCTTTTTAAGTTTATGCAACATGCGAGCCAGACGGACATGTAACTGTAGGAAAACGTGAAAAGTGAAACTGCAGGTCAGTGTACTGAAATATAATTTATATCAAGGGTCTCGGCGGATGAATGAAGTGCCTACATTTCACAAATATCTGTGGGTAAATCTTCTCAGTGATTTAACAAGATGTAATATAAAGATTATCTGCATCCATGACATAACTCTTCCACAGGGTTTGCTTTACACTAATTTGATACAAGAGTAGATAGGTACAAAGTGATATTCTTTCCTGTGGATGTAAATGACCATCATTTCTACGAAAGAAACATTGGAAAATCTGGAACTCTACTTCTGAGGAGATCTGTGACGTTTCGGTGAAACTATTTTGATTCCAATAACATATGCGTGGTCCTGGGTATTTAAGTTCACTAAGACCATTTCACTAGCCTCTTGATTATAAGGCTGTGATAGAAGAACAATGTTTTAGAATTCCAAAATTATTCGAAACTAACATGATGATTGTCAAAAGTAAAAACTTTTTGATTTAGTAAATTTCAATCATCTTCGATTTCGTACACGCAGAATACTTCAGAAATATTGTTCCAGTTTTTCCATACTTATTTCTTGTGTTTGAAGTTTCCTAAACTTCAGATATTGTTGATGGTTCCCATGACAACAGCTGAAGCGAAATTCGTACTAAATGTATAATCAGTATTTAATATAGCCCTTAATGTATACACTGGTCACTTATAGATGACTGTGACCAAGAAAACTCATCGTAAAGTTACTGAACACTCACTATAAACAGGCTTGCTACCTTTCTAATCTTGCTTAGGGTTGATACTTCAGACATGTACGCTACGAGTTCTGATCTACAGAAATTAGAACTGGTTCAGGAGAGGAGCGTTGGTGCCGACAGACATGACACAAAAGGAACTGTCATATCAACTTTAACATTTCCTGCTACCACCGATTTTATGTCGAAATGAACATATAAAATAAACGGTTATTTGCAGCAGGTTAAAGACATGAAATACCCTGCTGCAAGTCGCCGAAGCTTTCTTAGCGAACGATTTTCTTTCTGAAAGCACACCCATCAGTCTGGCGACCTATCACGTCGCGTCCTTTCAGGCATAACTACATTCTACCAACTCCTGTAAGAACTGCAGAATTTACGGTACGTTAAATCTCCCTTCAACTTGCAAAAGATGCTATTACATTCTTTAAAATGTATTCTGTCGAATAAAATTTGTTCCTTGTTTTGAACTTTAGTTTTGAGAGAAGAAAAATTGCAGTTGCCAAATATTTTGCTGCAAAAGATCCGTACATTCCTCGCCTATAAATAATACAGGGCGTTCAAACAAGGAGGAAACTTCGCAACACCGTTGACCGGGTTCAATATTCCGCACAGATTGCTGCTGTAACTGTAACGGCGCGCGTTTATCAGCGCTAATGACTCATTCTGCTATCAGCAGTTACAGCAGCAATATGTGAGGAATGCTGGGCCGGGTCCGCGGTGTTGCGCAGTTTCCTCCTTAACTGAACGCACTGTATTAAGATAATTTAGAACTTGGTGCAGCAGTCTGATCCAATAACAAAAACGAAAGGACTTCAAAATCAGATTACTTAAAGACATTGCAAGTGCGGAAGAGTTTGAATCAACAAAGAATATGATATCTGAGGTTGATACGGTCCTCTGGAATGTAAAGCAGTGTAGTCTAGTAGATAAGCAGAGCAGGCGAGATTCCTCCCAAATGTTCATATATACAATGGATGTGTTACATAGCAGTATACTCCATGTCCTGATGCTGAGACGCAATATCCACAGCAAGAAGAGGTAACAAGCCCAACACCAGACTGCCACTGCGTCCACTGTTTTAGTTCAGTAACACAATATCTTGCACCGTGTAACACTGGTACTCCATCCAGAGTTTCTATGTAACTTAATCATGGTTAAGTTCCTTATATGATACTGTATTTACAAATATAGCGATCAAATCGAATGTAACAACAGCGCTACCGCGCTGAAAGTACCGTTACTAATTATTTCAATGACTGCGTATAAAGCAGATGAATAATGATTCTCACAGCCATAGTCAAACATTACAAAATCATCAGCTGCATTATATAGAAAAATATCAGCAATTTCTTATTTTTTAATATTTTATAAAAAATTTAAATTAACTCTCCTGTTAAAGGAAATTAAAATTGGGATGAATTCAATGTTCCATTTACATACATTTAACGATTTACAGGTTCAAAAGTGAAAATTGCATTTCGCTACTAAATTATGAAAATGTAACAACTGAGTTAACAGCTTTCTAGACTTATGATATGAAAACCAAATATCTCGATGTTATGGTTTAAGAATAATGACCTAACGTTCTTGTGGTTTGACTGACCGAGGCTTCGTGTACATTTTACCCCCTTCGCAATATGGACAAGGGGCGTAATGGTCTCGAAGATGTCGGTTAATTACTCCACCACACCGCAATCCCGTTTCCAAGAACAAGTTTAACTACGGTACACCACAATATTATCAATTTCACATCCATATATCGAGCAGAACTGTGTCGGTAAACATTAAATAAAGAGGGGTACGGACTACACGTATACCGTATATAGCTTGGGCGACCTGCATCTAGAACATTTTACTGGTGTATACGTCAGACGGTCACTATTAAACCTTTAAGCAGTGTTCTGTTTGCAGCGGTCTTCCGGGCCCAGTCTAGAAAACAGAATAACAAAACGCTATTTCTGTAGCGGCCAGACAATTCCTCCCTTTCATACACAGTGCAAAGAGCCAGGATAGCTCAGTCGGTATAGCGACTGACTACGAACTGGACGATCGAGGGGTCGGAGTTTGAGTCCCGGTAGGGTCAAGAATTATCTCCTCTCCATGTCGTCCAGATCGGCTGAGGTCCACCAAACCTCCTATTCAATAGGTACCGGAGGCTCTTTCCCCGGGGGTAAAGCGGCAAAGGCGTGAAGCTGACCACTCACCTCCAACTATTGCCGAGCTCAAGAAAAGGTAGATCTATACATCTACTCCCCCTTACATCTTCATGGCATAGTGCTTAATTAGTTAAACAGAGGGACAACTTTACGACATATAGCGCAGAAAACGAAACTCGATTATAGAATAAAAGTATTTATAGTTTCATCACAAACACTGCTTCATTTAAGCAAATACTATAAATTCAATATTGATATTAAGAGCAAATATGCAAATTATGTTCAAAATTAAATTGCTACAACTGTAAAGTCATTACAATGAGAACGTAAGTTAAACCATGTCTGATGATGATGTTCAATACGTGTATCTGTGAAAACACAGATCTTATGTAACAGAGACAACGCATAATGCTACCAATAATAATAAGAGCACCATTATATTACACTTTCTTGTATATGCAGTACCCGATACCACCACAGAAACACCCAACGTCCAGTCTCGTAGTTAACTGCTCCTGCTTCGTATCTGTGAGGTTCTGGGTTCGAATCTCGGCCAGAAGATGGGCTATCCCACTGCCCCTCTTGGTAAGAGCCGGGGTTATAATCCAAATTAATCCATGGCTGTTTCCCTCAACATTCTGTCCAATCCATTATTTCCTAATCAGCTATCTAAGCTACTGACGTCCTTAAATTCACAAATATGCAACAGAACAAGAAGTTCTGGGAACAACTAAGCGATTACTTTCCTTTAGGTACAATCTGGGCATCTGATACAAGCAGAAAGGAACTTTACTCTGTATGCGTAATGAAGTCAATAAAACAGGAAAATCTGAGATGGCTTCAGGTGGCATGACATACATACCAAGTTTCATCAGGATTGGTATAGGCGTTTAAGCAATATTAAAGTTTTGCATCAGTAATTTAAGAGGCTATAATGTTGGTATTACTGATGAGAGGGATGTATGAAGTACGCCTTTGAGATAGGCTCAGTTGCCGTGATATACATACCAAGTTTCATGAAGACTGATTCGGCATTCAAAAGTTAACAGGAGATTCACAGACACACAGACAGCTCGGAGATCGCATAAGTCTACCTTTACTTTCTTTTTTTTGGTAATGAAAGTAAGCTAAAGACACTTAAGTGAGCCATCAGTTGTAAAATTGATGCTTCCCCTGTCCCCCTTATCAGTACATGGATATGCGTGATTTTAAAATTAGTATGTAAGATTTGAGGCTTTCACGGCGGTGACTATGAAGAAAGCAGTCTTCTGGGATTTGGCACCGTGTATAAGTGGTGTTAACCGACGTTTCGGTTCATCTCACCATATTCTTGAATGGTAAGAAGTATTCGATGCAAAAAAAATGCCAAACGAAATTTACCTCCAATTTCTTGAAATACTGCCTTCAAGGTTTAATCATTCTGATCTATTCGTCTGAATGGGGTATCAGCCTGTCGCAAGACTTCCAACTTTACACCACAATCAAGAGCGGAAAGACGCAGTCCGTAACTCAGTGAACACAGTAACTCAAGCGCTCTTTGCACCTAGGCACTCCATGATCGCATCTGGGTGTACGCACGTCTCATCAGGCTCAAAACGTCATTATAGATAAAGAGCGTTCAATGATCAAGGAAACCTGGCAACAGCGCGGGGCGAGCACAACATTTCTCACAGACTGCTGCTGTAACTGCCGCCACGATTTCGACTGTTAATATGGTCAATAGCTATGGTTACTGCAGTTCGGTAGTGGCGCTAGTGTCATTTCATCTCGTAAGTTCGTCAGTCCGCCGTACTATTACCAATTGCAAGAAATTAAATCTACAAATCTGAAGTGGGTTCCAATGACGTAACGTACATACAGGGTTTGTCCGAAAAGTAATGTCAGTGATTTTATTGTGAATTGACTATACGTCGCAGCCCGCTCAGACCGGTTGGGATCGGTGGAGGGGGAAGTCAGCTTATGAACGCGCGGTCGCTTAGTAGTCTCCGAACTTCCTGAGAGTGACGAAAGGCTTTTCCGTGAAACTCGTTTTTGTCTCCCGTGCAAAGCCGCAATGCAGCGCTCCTTGGAACAAAGGATTGCCATCAAGTTTTGTGTGAAACTTGGCAAGTCTGCAGTGGAAACTTTTCCCATGGTAAAGACGGCCTTCGGTGATGATTGTTTGTCGGAACACCAGGTCTACCGGTGGCACAAGTCCCTTTTAGAAGGCAGTGAAGAGGTCGGCGATGAAGCCCGCGCTGGACGGCCATCAACAAGCACCACTGACGAAAATGTGACGCGTGTGAGAGAACTTTTGAATTCAGACCGTCGTTTGAGTATTCGTTTAATGGCACAGACATTAAACATTCCAAAAAGTACCGTTCACGAGATTGTGACGAACAATTTGCAGATGCGAAAAGTGTGCGCAAAGCTGGTGCCCAAAGTGTTAACGGACGATCAAAAATCGCGCAGAGTTGAAACGTGCCAAGAACTTTTGGACTTGTGTGAAAGTGACACTCACTTTTTAGACAATATCAACTAATGTACCGATCTAATGAATAAATGTTTTTAATCGACTCACTGACATTACTTTTCGGACAAACCAAATCTGACCATAATCCATTCAGAGGCTCTTGCGCATGGGCATGTATGCATGTTCAGACAATGCCTATATGCATTCTTTACACAATGCGAAAAGAACGAAATAAAGAAAGTTGGAGCTCGGGCTAACATCTTGCCCCAAATAGATTCAACCAGCGATCCCAAAGCGTGTTCATCCGAAAGCTTACACTTTCAACTACTGATATACTTAAATTACTGTACATGACACCTTCGACAGTCTACGATAAGCTTTGTTGCTGACGAATAAACTTATTTATGTAACTAGGCCTAATTACGAATGTGTCATACAAGGTCGTAGATACAAATATTCTTTACCACACAAGAAAACAACCATATCAAAACAATAAGGGGAGTGGCAAAGTTGTTACACGTACTTCCACAAATAAAATTGTCCCTGACCGTGTTAGTTTCGAAAGGAAATCCACTGTAGTTCGAAATACCACAGTCGGTTACTATATACCGATTGACAGCGATATCCGTCAGACCAGTAAAACACGTTTGACAAACTACATACATTTCGCGTACACGGCCCTAGTGAGAGTAACGTTCTTCTCGTGAAGACATCACCAATGAAGTTTCGTCTACGGATACGGTCTTCGCAAATTACTAAAATTTAATCAAAATCGATAAAGTCGTTTCAGAAAAAGAAATACAATTTTATTTTTTGGGGCCCACCCGATGGCCTCCCTACTTAATTACTAAATATTCATACTCAGCTGGAACCGACTTATGATGGATAAACTCTTAAATACATACCATTTGAATAAAATCCATCCAGCAATTTGGACGCTAAAGATGTTCACATATACAAACAAACACATGCCACACACACACAAAAAAAAACTTTCCAATTCCTGGGGGGGGGAGATAAACCCGTGTAAATCCGTCAAAATCTCCAGACACATTTTCTTTCATGAACAGAATATTTTCACATATATGAGGAAGGAAGGAAGGAAGGAAGCCGGAATAGCATAGTCGGTATAGCGACTGGCTACGGGCTGGACGAACGAGGATGGGTTCGAGTCCCGGAAAGGTCAAGAATTATATCTTCTCCACGTCGTCCAGACTTGCTCTGTGGCCCATCCAGGCTCATATCCAATGGATACTGGGGACTCATTCCCGGGGGTGAATTGGCCGGGGCGTGAAGCTGACCACTCACCTCTAACTAGTGCCGAGGTCATGAAAATGTGGATCTATACATCCACTCCCCCATACGCCTTCATGGTGTAGTGTTTCGTTAGTTAAGCACAGGGACAACTTTACCTTACATGACAAAGGAAACACGAGACTAAACAGTGTAAGCGGACAATAACAGTGTCAGTGCCGCACTTAAAGAACGACACTTACATACAGTTCTCATTCTAGTTGTCAAATGAGCAAAACTACTCAATGGGTGAGGAGTTTTTGTTTTTAAGTTTAAAATGAACACTGAAATATACTTTGTTGTCCGATATGTTAACTTCCATAGGCCAAAACCAAATGTAGTTTATAGTATATATTTTTCTGATCTTTTTAAATTGCGGATGTTTCTCTGTCATATTTTTTTTATTGCTAGTGGGGTGGGACTAAGTCCCTTGTACTGCGGCCATTTCTGGCCTCTTGTACCAGCCCCAGATGATAAGTGAGGGTGATTGTGGAGCAATTTGTGAAATGAAGATTGGCAGGGGAAACCGAAGTACTCGAAGGAAACCTGCCCCAGCGCCACTTTGTCCACCACAAATCCCATTTGACCAGACACGGGATCGAATCCCGGCCGCCGCGGTGGGAAGCCAGCGACTAACCGCTTGAGCTATGGCGCAGCCATCTCTATGTCATATTAGATGCGTTGCCTTTCGTTGTAATTATCAAGCGTTGCCGTGCGTTCCTTGTATTCAAAAACAGGCAACTGATGTCCAATGCGGATTTCTTTTCTCTTCAGAATCAACAGCTTTTATCTGAAACATTTTTCGACAATGAACATGCAAGGACACGTTCTTTCTGACCGCTAGGCAGAATATGTACACTGCTACTAGCTTTGCAACACTACATTATAAACTGTTTAAATTTTATTTGGAAAGTACTAATTTGAATCTCGTCAGAGCATTAACTATCCAAATATACTTTTTTAATAATTCTTCAATCTCTTCTGTTCGCCTCAGTGAGTTGAAAAAAAAGACCAAGGCAACTTATTCCATAATTTCTTCCCCTGTGCACATAATTGACGCAAGAAAGGAGGTTAGTTTAGAAATAAACACAGAGAAAACTAATTATATGTTGCTGTCTCATCACCAAAATTCCGGGCAAAATCATGACATAAAGATAGGTAACAGATGTTTTGAAAATGTGGCACAGTTCAGATGTTTGGGAACAACGATAACAAATCAAAACCTGATTCAGGAGGAAATTAAGAGACTGAACTCAGGTAATGCTTGCTACCATTCAGTCCAGAACCTTTTGTCTTCTAGTATGCTGTCCAAAAACATAAAAATTACAATTTACAAAATATAATTTTGCCTGTGGTTCTGTATGGGTGTGAAACTTGGTCTTTGACATTAAGGGAGGAACAGAGACTGAGGGTCTATGAGAACAGGGTGTTGAGACTATTTGGACCGAAGTGGGACGAAGTGACAGGAGGTTGGAGAAAACTGCACAATGAGGACCTTCTTAACTTGTACACTTCTCCCAGTATAATTAGAATGATCAGGTCAAGGAGGATGAGGTGGAGAGGGCATGTAGCATGAATTGGAGACACGAGGAATGCATATAGGATATTGGTGGGAAATCCAAAAGGAAAGAGATCACTAGGAAGACCAATGCGTAGGTGGGTGGACAATATTAAAATGGACCTTAGAGAGATAGAATGGGATGGTGTGGATTGGATTTATCTGGCTCAGGATAGGGACCAGTGGAGGGCTCTTGTGAACACGGTAATGAACCTTCGGGTTCCATAAAATGTTGGGAAATTCTTGAGTAGCTGCAGAATTGGCGGCTACTCCAGAAGGGCTCAGTTCCATGAGTAAGTAAGTAAATGCATATAATCATTCGACGCTAAATAAATCTCTATGGCTCTACTACCCTTCGTTGTGCCTTGACCGCTTTTTAATTTTCTTAATCCTATTCACAGTCGTAGGAGCCCTTGGACGGGGGATAGCCCGCCACAAGGCCGCTACCTACACACAGAACAACATAAACACAGAATAAACGCACACAGACATCCATGCCTCGAGTGGTATTCGAGCCCACGATCCCAATGTTCGAGCGAGGGAAGACAGCTCATGCCTCTGATCGCGCAGCCACTGTGATCGGCACTTATAAAAACTACAGAGATGTGAAATAACATACTATCTCTGTGGGCGATAAATCATGACAGTGAATTCTTGTAATTATCCTACTTCCGACGTACATAATCTTGTGTACGTCGGAAGCACGTGTCAGTGAACCGTCAATAGGGGATTACCCTATGCAAAAACTTCTTGTTACGTGCTGAAGTCACATACCAACGTCACCATATAATAACATACGCTGACCGCAATAAGAAGCACATCCAGCACTGATCTAAGCTCAAAGTTCCGTGAACTACCGCAGCATCCTGACGAGATGAAGCTGTTGCAACTCACCGCTCAGATCACGCTCTGCCTACTCTTCACTTCAAACCGAGCAAGTAAGCGAACACTGAATGGTACCAACCAATATGCTGTTAACTGATTTTCAAACCAATAGAACTAACTACATATGGGAATACGATTTAATTAGGAAAATAAACGTCTTTAAAGAATTAAAATAATAATTTTGCCTGTTGTTCTCCACGGGCGTAAAACGTGGTTAATGTAAAGATGTCCCTGTGCTTAACAAATTAAGCACAACTTGAAGGCGCGTTTTCTTGACCTCGGCACTAACTGGAGGTGGTCAGTTTCACGCCCCGGCCGCTTTACCGCCGGGGAAAGTCTCACCGGTAACCACTGGATAGGAGGTTGAGTGGGCCTCAGAGCCGGTCTGGACGACTCGGAGAAGGAAAAATTCTTGACCCTACTAGAACTGGAACACCGACTCCTAGGTCGTCCAGCCTGTAGCCAGTCGCTGTACCGACTACGCTATCCTTGTTACTTCTTTTAAAAGATTATGTAATACAAGCGTTTGGAAACAGCGCCACGAAAAAGAGTGTGCATCTAAATTAAATTAATAAGCAGACACTTTAGTGTACGGGTCATAACATCGGGTCAACCTCTGTGATTTATGCAAGACACTCAAGAGGGCCGGCTGTTGGTGTATTACAACGTATAAAGTGATGATGGGACGGACATATAGCTCGAGAGGAGAGACAAGAAATGCATACAGGTTTTAGTGGGGAAATGTCTCGGAAATATGCCACTCTGGAGGCCGAACAGATGCTAGGATAACCATACGATGCCTCTTTGTCTTCTAACTTCATAACTTCTTGTACTACTGCTAATCTTTGTTTTGTACAGGTCGCTATATCCATTGCTTGCAGCTAAATTGTCAATGTGTTATATTTCCTACAACTGATGTGAGATGAAGGGAAGATACAGATATCAGATTTCACCCTCTAGCAGCACACCCCAAAGGTTCAACACCGCTAGTTCCGGCTGGACACTTCCCAAGACGTTTCTGGAACAACACTCTGTATATTTACACGTACTGTCCCCCTCGTCTCAGTTTCATGCTCAACCCAATGAAAACTGTTTCATTTCAGTCGCTAGCATTACTGGGAGCTGTGTATAAGAATTTCCATGCCATAAACACTTGAATTAATTCATAATTCAATTATAGACTGCCTAAATTGCAATTTCCAAAGTTGTCAACTTTTGAAGAGTACTATTTTCTAGAAAGTAATGGAGTGTAGTAAGACAGGTCACCGACGTTACGGAGGAACGTAATGTCTTAAGGGTCGAATAATAAGCCAAACAGCCAACAAGAAGCAGACCCCTGCAAAATTGCTTGGCTTACTCTTTCACGCTTAAGATGGCGGCAGTATGCTCCTCCGAAACATAGGTAACTCCTATTGGACTACATGGCGTTAAATCCTAGGAGTCAACGCAGTGAAAACCACAGTGTCAAGTTACCAGTATTTGTGAATGAATAAATCTGCACCAAGATAGTACCCGTGTCCAATCTCTGACACATGCATGAGAGAGCGGTTTTCTCCAGACGTTAACAATTAAACCTGTAGCCATTTCTAATTATGCATTTGTTTATGGTCTGTTAAACGAGGCAATCAAAAGTTCAGATTACACGGCGTCAAACTACGATAATGAATAAAGAACTGCGAACTACGTGGAAAGAAGCGACTGTGGCCAATTTGAGGTATTGCCCTGGTATCTGCCTGGAGTGAAGGGACACCATTAAAAATCCCAAGCGAATTGGCCTTCTGTCCGAGATATGACCACAGGACCTCGAGAATACGAATCAGGTGACCGCAAAACCGTGAATACTGCTTTTATGCTACCCATACTAGGCGGGCTGTAACATCTTGTCGACCTTGTGTCTGGGATTTACTTCGCTCCTTGTTTACACAGACATGCATTGATGAGCGGTGGTTCATGGTCAGGACATCATGAAAGGTTCCATGAGGGAAGCCGGCGACTAACCGCGTGAGTTATGGCACGGCGACGATCTTAACTCAATCAGGAGACAGACGGACAGATACACAGAGATTGCTTATAGGTTTCTTCAGTAAGGGTGCTAATATTACTACCGAGGTAGATGATTCAAGCGGTAATACTTCTGATCTGTATTCCAGAGATTATCTGTTCGAATTTCAAAGAGGCACAAATTATGTTCGTAGTTTTCCTCAGTCGTACCAGGAAGATGCCGGGATAGCGCTTCAAATTATGCCATGACTGCTTCTTCTCACATTCTTCCTCATATATCATTTAAATTATCCAACTATCTGATACCTTCACGTATTTGGTGTTGTGCGTGACTTAGAGACGAGTTCTGGATGGCATGGTTGGATTTACTGACAATTTATACATTCAATACTTGAAACTACCGGCAACTACAGCGCTACCGCTAATCTCCGCACTTTACAGTTCACCGGCACACATACACTAGGGTTCTTAATCTTCACCAGTCGTATCCTGGCAACGGATTTCAACATAGTAGTTATACCAGCCTCAGTGTAACTGAAGCACACATAAAGTCTTCTTTCCACAGTCTAATTCCTTCCTCGCCATTTCTTCTCAATCACCTTCGACTGCCGACTCTCTCAATTCGATTCCTCTGCTCCCAAGCTCATATCCTGGCAGGCTGGAGCCTCGGAACTCAATTAACTGAAACGTTCTCCTCTGTCCTTTTCATAACCCCTTGGCAAGGACCACATAGAAAACAGAGCCTGTCTATTGTTGAGATGGAGTGTGTATAGCGCCGCTGCGAAGCAACGGAAATTGCTTGCGTATTCGTTGCTGCGGGAATGTGTTTAATGAGCAGTTGCTTAGCAACGGAAGTCTCCTCTGATTGCATTATTCTGGTTTTCGGTCGTCACAATACTATACACTGAGCTGCTGAAAGAGCCGGTAAATAAACCACAAATATTTAAATAAATAAATGATTAGTATGACGTACTAGGCACACAAGATGCTGAGAGACTGATGTGAGCGCGTTTTCCTTCAGCGGCCACATGTCCTCAAGTCGTGTCACGAGCAGACTGGGATGCACGAGCCCCTGTCAGTAGCCAGACCATACCATCTCTCCCGGTGCCATACGTCGTGATCCACCACACATATCTGCCCGGGTTCTGCAACACCAGCCAAGCCTGCGAGGCCGCCATGCGCAGCATGCAAAACTATCACCAGAACACCCAGAAATGGACGGACATCGGCTACAAGTGAGTACCAGCGTTCGTCACAGTTTAGCATTATATGCACTTTGGGGGATCAGCTGTAGAATTTTAGGTTCTGACACCGGTGGTTATGAAGTGTTCTATCGTCCCGGATATAACGCCGCGTAGTTCGCTGAAATTCAACTGACGTTTCAGAGAAACATTTCACCTCCATCTTCAGGGTTGAAGAGTAAGCTAATCAGTAAACCAGCATAAAACAGGTAGCAAGAACAGCTTTGAAAGTCAGATGATTCGAGGGAACATTTCGCTTCCATCTGCAGTATAAATCAGACAGCAAGTAGTTCTCAGTCAATCGTCGTTTCGAAGGAACATGCTCATTCCATCTTCATGGTTGAAAAGAAAGCTAAACAAGAAACCAGCATAAAGTAGATAACAAGTAGTTCTGAAAGTCATCCGATGTTTCAGAGAAGCATGTCGCTTCCATCTTCAGTATAAAGCTGGTAGCAAGTACAGCTCTGAAAGTCAACAGATGTTTCGGAGGAACATGCCAATTCCATCTTCAGGGTTGAAGAGTAAGCTAAACAAGAAACCAGTATAAAGCAGGTAGCAAGCAGAGTTCTGAAAGTCAACCAACGTTTCGGAGGAACATAAGGCCTCCATCTTCGGAATTGAAGAGTAACCTATGCAAGAAACCAGCATGAAGCAAGTAGAAAGTAAAAGTCTGCTGAGTTTTTAAATCTAGGCATTTGCCTGGAAAGACTGAGTAAAACCGACAAAAATATCCACCAGTGAAGTCGGTGACCCGGCGAAGATTCGAACCGAGTACCTCCCCAATAAAAGAATGGATGTATTGATGCTTGGGAAGATAGCTAACACGGTCACTTGAACTGAGTCTAGAAAGACCATTTATCGCGCTGTACAGGTACACGCTGCAGCCTTGCCATTAGGCTTCACACATCACACGGAAGGCAGAGAAGTTGCATAAACAACAGAATAACAACAATAAATACGATGTATGCCATTCACTTCACACAGAAGTGGCAATACCTAATACGTCGCATATGCGGATTTAAGATATACGCCGTTCTCAGTCTGTATTCAGGTCTACCAGAACACAAGACTGAGAGTGTTTGAGAACAGGGTGTTGAGGAAAATATTTGGACCGAAGATGAAGTAACAGGAGGTTGGAGAAAACTGCATATTGAGGCGCTTCGTAACTTGTACGCTTCTCCAAGTATAATTAGAATAATAAGTGAAGGAAGATGAGGTGGATAGGGCATGTAACACGAATGGGGGAGAAGAGGAATGCATATATCATATTGGTGGGGAAGCCAGAAGGAAAGAGACCACACGGAAGACCAAGGCGTAGGTGGGTGGACAATATCAGAATGGATCTTAGAGAGATAGGATGGGTTGGTATGGATTGGATAGATCTGGCTCGGGATAGGGACCAGTGGACGGCTCTCGTGAACACGGTAATGAACCCTGGGGTTCCATAAAATGCTGGGAAATTCTTGAGTAGCTGCAGAATTGGCGGCTCCTCAAGAAGGGCTCGGCTGCACGAGTAAGTATAATTTTAATAATAATTACATGTATTATGATTAACAATAATATGGATACATATTAGGATATTTCATTAATGTGAGACGTATTTAATGAATTTGCCTGAAGATGGTCATAAATATGGACCGAAAACACCACAAAACAAAAAGAAACGCTTGTTGTCAGGTTACTTTCAACCTTGAAAATGGCAGTACATTCCTCCCAAAGGTCGGTAAACCTCTACCAGACTATATGTACTTTCAGTAGTCACCGCCATTAGAACCCCAATGCCTCATGCACTGCTCATTTGTCCTTACAGTTTCTGTATTGGAGGCACTGGTCAAGTGTACGAAGGCAGGGGATGGGACATCGTGGGAACCCACGCACCCAACTACAACAATCGTAGCATTGGCATTTGCTTCATCGGAGATTTCAGAGGTGAGAAAGTTGACTAGTTCTTTTTGTTAGGGTGGGTTGGACAGAGTCCACTTGGTACGCCGGCTACTAACTGGCCTATTGTACCAGCCCCAGATGATAGATGATGAGTGTGGAGCGGTCGGTGGAATGAGAATTGGAAGGGGAAACCTAAGTATTCGGAGAAAACCTGCCTCGGTACCACTTTGCGCACCCCATATCCCATTTGAACTGAACTGGGCTTGAACCCGGGCCGCCGCGGTGAGAAGCCGGCGACTAACCGCTTGAGCTATGGCACGGCCAGAAAGTTGACTAACTATACGGAGCTGAGCCCTTCTTGAGAAGCCGCCATTTGCGCAGTTACTCAAGAACTTCTCAACATTTTATTGAGCCCGAAAGTTCGTTACCGTGTTCGCAAGAGCCCGCCAAAGGTCACTATTCTGAGCCATATCAATCCAATCCATAACATCTCATCCTGTCTCAACAACTGAACTCTTCTTTAGAATGACTTTGCGCGAATCATGCAGAAAACACAGCCTCTCTATTGTTGAGAAGGCGTGTTTACAGCGCCGCTGCATAGCAACGGAAGTAACTGGATTGTTATTTTCATATTCAATGCCGCGGGAATGTGTTTACCGGGTCGTTGTCTAGCAATGAACGTCTATTCTGACTTCACTATTCCGGCTTTTGGGAGTCACGTAACAATATCATTCTCCCACCTACTCTAGGTCTTTTTAGTGGCCTCTTTCGTTCTGGCTTTACCACAAAAATTCTATATGTATTCCTTTTTTTCCCATGTGTGCTACATGCCCTGCTCATCGCATCCTCCTTGACTTGATCTTTCTAATTATACTTGGCGAAGAGTACAAGTTATGATACTCCTCATTACGCAGTTTTCTCCAACCTCCTGTCACTTCATAACTCTTGGGCAGAAATATTATTGTCAGCATCCTGTTCTCAAACACCCATGTCTATGTTCCTCCTATTACGTCACAGACCGCCAAAACAAATCCAAAAGCAAAATTATAGTTTTGTGACACTGACTCAGATATACTAATAATTGACCAATAAAACATAAAATCTCATGGGTTCGAATCCTGGGAAAATTCTTTACTCTCGTAAACACTCAGTTCGAGAGAACAAGGAAAAGGGCATAGTTACAGAACAGGTAACTAGACTGTTGAATTTTCATGCCCTGGTTAAATGTACAAAATTGCCACGGGAATGTATTTCCTAAACGGCAAGTCTGTGAAAAAGAAAGTTCAACGAAAATGTTCTCACAAATATACAGAAAGACATTTCTGTGACAAAATGTTCAATACATTCAACACTAAGAAAACAAATAGTGTGACTGACACACATACACTGAGGATCTACGAAATTTACATGTATCGCTCAAGTATATGTTCGCGATGACAAATCTAGCTTAAGATGACAGAATCAAAGTACACACTTGCGAATATCCGGAGTCTTCAATTTACGATGCTGGGAACGTGTTACGAAAGCGAGCTGGCCAACACTAGTTCGGGGAAAATTCCGACAGGCAGGGCATACTAAAATTCCCGTATAGCCTTGGAAAATTCTTTATTTATTTAACTAAAATTAAATTTCTCGTATTAAATAGTACCAAGTGACAACCATTATTGAATAGTGAATTGAAAACAGCGTGAATGAAAGTGGTCGTGGACTAATTTAAGTATTATCCCTGCAATTTCCGTAAGGGACTGAGGAAATCCACGAAAACCTCAGTCACGCTATCCGGTCCTCGGACCTAGATTTAAAGCTCTGGACATTCCGAAAGTAAAGCAGGAATTACAATCACAATACAGTATTTGTAGCAGTCATTTATTTTACCAGCTGAGCTGCCGACATTGGAGATGCTAGCCACAGCTAAGTCGCTGATAGAGTGCGGGGTGGAGCGCAACTCCACATCGCCAGACTACAAGCTTCTGGGCCACAGTCAAGTCCGCAGTACCGAGTGTCCTGGAACAGCACTCCTCAACGAGATCAAGACCTGGCCCCATTGGGATTCGCTCAACAAAACTAATACCTAGCTACAACGCTTGGTCCCATTGGGACTATCTCCTTATAGCACCTAGACTGACTACACGCCATGCTCCAGCATATTTCAGTGCATTCATTCATTCATCAGTAATCTGTCAGACGACAGGTCCACAGTCTCTTCCAAAACAGTTCCTCCACTTAATGCGATCTAGAGCTTTCTCCTTCAAATAAAAATATCCCCTTCTGTCCCTAAGGTCATCCAGCATCTTCTTACGTCTTCTTCCTCGTCTTCTAGTCACTTCAATCCGCCCCTCCAGTTTAATCTCGCATACATGGTATCTCTCNGTAACTAGACTGTTGAATTTTCATGCCCTGGTTAAATGTACAAAATTGCCACGGGAATGTATTTCCTAAACGGCAAGTCTGTGAAAAAGAAAGTTCAACGAAAATGTTCTCACAAATATACAGAAAGACATTTCTGTGACAAAATGTTCAATACATTCAACACTAAGAAAACAAATAGTGTGACTGACACACATACACTGAGGATCTACGAAATTTACATGTATCGCTCAAGTATATGTTCGCGATGACAAATCTAGCTTAAGATGACAGAATCAAAGTACACACTTGCGAATATCCGGAGTCTTCAATTTACGATGCTGGGAACGTGTTACGAAAGCGAGCTGGCCAACACTAGTTCGGGGAAAATTCCGACAGGCAGGGCATACTAAAATTCCCGTATAGCCTTGGAAAATTCTTTATTTATTTAACTAAAATTAAATTTCTCGTATTAAATAGTACCAAGTGACAACCATTATTGAATAGTGAATTGAAAACAGCGTGAATGAAAGTGGTCGTGGACTAATTTAAGTATTATCCCTGCAATTTCCGTAAGGGACTGAGGAAATCCACGAAAACCTCAGTCACGCTATCCGGTCCTCGGACCTAGATTTAAAGCTCTGGACATTCCGAAAGTAAAGCAGGAATTACAATCACAATACAGTATTTGTAGCAGTCATTTATTTTACCAGCTGAGCTGCCGACATTGGAGATGCTAGCCACAGCTAAGTCGCTGATAGAGTGCGGGGTGGAGCGCAACTCCACATCGCCAGACTACAAGCTTCTGGGCCACAGTCAAGTCCGCAGTACCGAGTGTCCTGGAACAGCACTCCTCAACGAGATCAAGACCTGGCCCCATTGGGATTCGCTCAACAAAACTAATACCTAGCTACAACGCTTGGTCCCATTGGGACTATCTCCTTATAGCACCTAGACTGACTACACGCCATGCTCCAGCATATTTCAGTGCATTCATTCATTCATCAGTAATCTGTCAGACGACAGGTCCACAGTCTCTTCCAAAACAGTTCCTCCACTTAATGCGATCTAGAGCTTTCTCCTTCAAATAAAAATATCCCCTTCTGTCCCTAAGGTCATCCAGCATCTTCTTACGTCTTCTTCCTCGTCTTCTAGTCACTTCAATCCGCCCCTCCAGTTTAATCTCGCATACATGGTATCTCTCTTTTTGGAAAGAGACTATTCAGGAAAAGTGATAATGTGGTAGTTTTCCCATTTGCTTTCCACATCGCAGTACAACAGCCGTTCAAACCACTCTCGTCACGCCTGTTGCTATACGAACTTGAACCATCTCGAGCATCATTTGCTCTGTGCTTCAAGTCGCTATTGATGACGCTGCTTCCGGCATCAGTTTTTCGTTTTTGGTCTCTCTCTTCGTCTGATGCCTACCCTTTGACCTGTCCAGCAAGGGAGGCCCTGCCAGTAGCTACGCTACCGCTGGTATAGCTCTCAGGGTCCCTGGCATACTCAAACCCCCTCACCACGATAAGGTGGAGAAATTTCAGTGCAACCTTCAACAAAGTACCTAGCCCAAACCTTTGTCGGACTCAATGAATGCTTCAGCATGGTGAGAACCTCAAATCCTACATGGTTCTATGTGACTAAACCTTTTCTCATACGGATTGGACAATATCACCAACCACCGTGTGTTTACCTTAAAGAATGTGGTCGTATGGAATTCAATAAAGTAAAAGTAAAAGTAAAAAGTAAAGCTATCCCTGTAACAGGCCATGGAGGCCCATAAGGTTGTGAGATGTTGAGGTTCCCACATTTTCTAGACAATCGGCTCATAGACGGCGGCAAAGTTGTCAGCCTTACGCGCCGGCCACCCTTTACCCCAAATAATATTCCTGGCACTCATTTCTGTTAGAGGTTGAGTCAACCCCAGGGCCAGTGAGGCTGGAAGGATTAGGTCAATTGAAAAAAAAAATCTAATGACCTCATCGGGACTTGAACTATCGACCTTCCGGCTTGTAGCATAGCCCCTCAAATAACTACACTACCGCGTGCCCCAGATAAACAAAAATGGCCTACAAGGGCGTCTCAATTATTTTAAAACACGGGTAAAGAGGGGGTAAACTTAAGCGTCACATATATAATTTTAAGTCCCACGTTTCTACTGCGTAACTCTGGGAGCCAACTCATGTTAATTACAGTTTACCAAGAATGGAATGTGTTTACTAGAGTTGAAAATAGTCATATTGTAATGTTTTAATTATATGGGGTGGTCAAGCCAACCATCACAACAGCAGCAGCCTCATTGGTCAGGGTAAATTGGGGACAGGAGGGCCGCCTCCGCTGGTAACCATATCGAACTCGTATATTAAAATCTGATCATGACATTTGTGCCTGCTATAACACTGTTACAACTTCAGTAAACTGCAGCTACGTCCGGCTGGTTCCCTAGGAGCAAAGTTGAAGCGCCAGGCGTGAAATCATAATTTTACTATGACGTGGAAGAGAAAGCGCTGAAGTTATCCATTATCAATACAAGTCACACTGCACGTTACAACAAAAGTATTATAGGGATAGAAATTTTATATATGTAAACACAACATTTTGTATGGCAGAAGTTAGTATAATTAGAACATATTTCTGCGCATAAATGCAACAGCAATAATAACTGTGACATGTATTGTATGTGCTAATAAAATAGTACACACTAATGTCACTGTTCTAAGCAATTTAGCATGCAAGAAGAGCATAAGGGATGGAGGCCTGCTGTTCTGTTTGTGACCAGAAGACGCAATGTAATAAAATATCTGAAAGTCACTTATGAACACTTAGAGTAAAACATATTACTTAAACNCTTTCTTCATAGTCACCGCCATGAAAGCCTCAAATCTTACATATTACTTAAACTTATTTCCCAAAAATATTTATGTTAGGATTTACTTACGTCCGATCGTAAACTCAATATGACGTTTTGAAGCGCGCCATGTCATTTCTTGTTGCAAAGTTACATTATAGCATTAATATAGAACTCAAAAATAGGTTATGATGGGCTTTTGGCGGGGACCTGTATCAAAACATGTCATCTACATTACAAAAGGACCTTATACCTCATCAGTTTAATTTTCAGTTAAGTCGAATAACTTCGACATGGGTGACAAACGAAACAACAGAGGACACTCCAAGACTCTGCAAATATCACAATGAACCAGCAGGAGCATGGCGTCATTTTACGATCTTAACCGACGTTTCCCATTCACGGAACTTACCGTTTAGTGAATCTGTTACAAGAAACGGAAGGAAAATCTATAAATCCAGTGGTATCGACTGGCTTCAATTTGCAGCATCTGCGTTCCTAAACACTATAATCGAAATTTCGCGATATACCCCTAAATACTTAATACACTGGAAAAGGGCGTAAAAGTAAACTATCATTGTAACAGGCCGTTAAGGCCCATAGGGTTGTGAGGCGTCGAGGTTCTCAAATCCTGTCTAGACAATCGGCTCACAGATGGTGGTAAGGTTGTCAGCCTTACGTGCCAGCCACCCTTTACCCCCCAGGAAGATTCCTGGTACTCATTTCTGTTAGAGGATTAGTCGACCACAGGGACATAGTGCGGATTCAAGGATTAAGTCAATTAAAAATTCAAATGACTTCATCGGGACTCGAACCCGCAACTTCTTGTAGCATAGTGCCTCAACCAACTACGCTACCGGAAGTGCCTCAACAAATTCTGTCTTAAGCTGCTCGTTATAAAACTCTGAAGGACTGAACCTCGGAGGTGTTCAGATGGACGTCATTATAAACGAGTTTTACGACATGCCAACAAGTCATTTCTTGCGTTCAAGTTTAGCAGAATGTAGTCTCATCTCTTCTAAGTTGAAACTGTTTGTTGATCCATGAAACAGCGCAGTCTCACTTATTTCTGGATACCAAAACTTAAGACAAAAGTACGCATAACATCCGCCTCCTTCCGCTCTTACAGAAATTCTTTGTCCGCAGTGCGTAGCGAAAGACGGACGACGGCTGAAAGACATCGAGAAAACAGACAAGGAACAAGTAGTTACTACAGGATTCTGACGATGGTGTATAACACACAGAAATATTGGGTTTTCGGACTTTTTCTAAGGGACCCAACAGAATAGGTGTTTTTCCCTCACCTGAGGACGGAAACAGATCCAGTTGCCGAAAGGTCGTGTTTTTATTAGTTATCTTAAAAACTAGGACGATGGATAAAGTCCGAAAACCCAATATCTCTGTGAGACAAGGAAAAGTTCCGACATAGTGTATACTATAATTGCGTTCCTGCAAGAGTTTCCTTTTGGCCTTTACGTGATTCTCATCATTCGAAAATCTTTTCCAACTATCCCCCACCGCATATTTCTTTTCTCTCTCTCTCTCTCTTCTCTTGCTCCCACTTTGGAGCATAGGGCTGATTTCTCAGTTTCATGATCATTTCACAGACAGTAGGACTCCTTGGACGGGTGATCAGCTCGTCGCAAGGCCTCTTCCTAAACACAGGACAACACAAACACAGAATAAACACGTACACATACCAAACATCCATGCCTTGTGTGGGATTGGAACCCACGACCCCGGCTTCCGAGTGAGCGAAGACAGTACATGCCTTAAACCGCTCGGCTAAAATGACCGACATATAGAAGATTATTTGCTTTCAAATATCACAAATGTATATTTAATTAGACGTGACTGTGAAACAGAAATTTCGGCGTCTGTAAACACGCAAGCAAAACTACACCCTGAAGCGGTCGGTATCACAGGACAGAACACGAAACTTCCATTCACTGGGTATATTATAATGGAAACTCATTTGTTACAGAAATATCTTATTAAGACACGATTCAAGGATACAGGAACAGATGTTGCGG